AGCCGTAAGGCGCTGCAAGGATGGGTGGTGGTCGTGGGTTGCGGAGGAGATGGAGTCTGCCTCAGTGGCCCGCGATCACAAATCACTATTTAACTCCATCAAAAAAGTAACCTGCAGCGCCACACATATTACCATCATTATGGGAAAAAATGGTGATCCAATCTCCGACCCCCAGGAACAGGTTTGCAGATTTGCTGAGCATTTTTGTGAGGTCCTGGGGAAATCCCTCAGCCAGGAAAACATCATGGCACAAAGTGGGGATAACCCTGCTGAGGCTGCGGTGCCTCAAATATTGGAAGTCACCCCCTGTGAGTGGCTGGCTGAGGTGCCATCTGTTGAAAAAGTACTAAAGGTCGATCCGTAATCTGAGACCAGGAAAGGCACCGGGCAGAGATGATCTCCCAAGCGAAATGCTGAGGGAGGGTGGCGTTTGTGCACAGACTGCCCTATATGACATCATAACAACAGCCTGGACCACTGGACGGGTTCTGCAGGATTGGAAGGATGCCCTGGTGGTCCCCCTCTTTAAGAAGAGGGACCGCACAGACTGTAACAACTACAGGGGCATCTCAGTGTGATCATTAAAGACCTTCATGATGGTGAGCGGGCCCGGGCAAAACTACGTGGCCGGAAGTCAGAGCCATTCCCTGTACATCTTGGGGTGCGACAGGGATGTCCTCTGACTCCCACATTATTTAACATCTATTTTGACCACGTAGTTCGTGAAGCCTTCAATAGCTGTACCGGGGGAATTTCCATTTTCCATTTGATATAATGGGAGGCTGATCGATGCGATCAAGGGATGGCTCCCTATTGGTCAATCACGTTATGTATGCCGATGATTTGGTAATAGCTGCTCATTCAGAGGAGGAGTTGGAGACGCTGCTGCTGAGACTGGAGCGTGCCACTAAGAGGTGGGGCCTTACCATCAGCCCCACCAAAACTAAACACCTGCCTGGGTATTTTGTACCATCGGACACTCCACCCACACAATTCCCAATCGGTGATGGGGCAGTTTTGGAGAGAGTGGAGAGTTTCCCATACCTGGGCAGTGTGCTTATGACCGGCTCCAGTGTAACAGCAGAGGTCTCACTCAGTATCAGTCGAGCGTAACGCTGTGTGGAAGCTACCTGGTCTGTCGCTCCGCACGAAGCTTCAGGTCTTCTCGGCCAAAGTCATTCCCTCCCTTCTCTACGCTTGCGAAACGTGGACTCCCCTAATGGAGCATCTTCGCCGGTTGGAAACATTTAGGCTGGCCTGCCTACGATCCATCCTGGGGTTAACCTGCAGGCTGGATTGTGTGAGGAGCTCACAAATCCTTGAAAGATCTGGGCAAAGTCCCATCGGTGAGCTCCTCCGTCAGTCATGAAGCCCGCATGCCCAGCCACCGCATGCCTAAACAGCTTTTGTTCGGCCAGATAGAGGGGGCTAAACGGGCATGGCACGGGCTAGAGAAGAGATGGAGTGATGTGGTACAGGAGGATGTGGAGCTGAGTTGACTTGCCGATGACTGGTACCTGCGGTGTCAAGATCGGCCTCTGTGGAGGAGGCTCGTGAAGGACGCTACTGGGCAGTTGGAGGCAGTCGCCCTCCAACAACAACGGAGGGCGGAGGAGCGACGCTCACAACAACGAGCGGAGCGCCGGATGGCTAAAGCACAGCAAGTTGGCACAGTAGGGGGCACAGGTGGTGCATCAGCCAGTCATCTAGGTCATCTCAGTTAGTCGACCCGTGGCACCTGGGTCTGCCCCGTGATCTCCTGCCAGCGGGTGTTCGACACTTCACGTGGCCTCAAGGTGCACATGGCCTGGCACAAGCGTCGTGGTGACGTCACCGCGAATGGCGGTTGTTGGGTGGGTGGGGTAGGTGTGTAGGTGTCTGGGTCTCGCGAGACGTGCACAGTTGGTGGTCTACAGTTGGCACTTCGGGTGCGCCATGAAGTCCTCACGGCTCCTGCTGCTGCTGCTGATCATGGAGCTCTTCACGGCGACGGCGGCGGAACGCGCCCATACCAGGTGCCCTCACCAGCTCACCTCCACTCACCAGCTCACCTCCACTCACCAGCTCACCTCCACTCACCAGCTCACCTCCACTCACCAGCTCACCTCCACTCACCAGCTCACCTCCACTCACCAGCTCACCTCCACTCACCAGCTCACCTCCACTCACCAGCTCACCTCCACTCACCAGCTCACCTCCACTCACCAGCTCACCTCCACTCACCAGCTCACCTCCACCCACCAGCTCACCTCTACTCACCAGCTCACCTCCACTCACCAGCTCACCTTCACTCATCAGCTCACCTCCACTCACCAGCTCACCTCCACTCACCTCCACTCACCTCCACTCACCAGCTCACCTCCACTCACCCCCTCACCTCCACTCACCCCCTCACCTCCACTCACTCCACTCCCCGCTCACCCCCCTCACCCCGCTCACCCCTCACCTCCACTCACCCCACTCACCTCACTCACCCCTCACCTCCACTCACCTCCACTCACCCCGCTCACCCCTCACCCCGCTCACCCCCTCACCTCCGCTCACCTCCGCTCACCTCCGCTCACCCCGCTCACCTCCGCTCACCCCGCATCCCCCGCTCACCTCCGCTCACCAGCTCACCTCCACTCACCCCGCTCACCTCCACTCACCAGCTCACCTCCGCTCACCCCCCTCACCTCCACTCACCCGCTCACCTCCACTCACCAGCTCACCTCCGCTCACCAGCTCACCTCCGCTCACCCCGCTCACCTCCACTCACCAGCTCACCTCCGCTCACCCCCTCACCTCCACTCACCCCGCTCACCTCCGCTCACCAGCTCACCTCCGCTCACCAGCTCACCTCCACTCACCAGCTCACCTCCACTCACCAGCTCACCTCCGCTCACCCCATCACCTCCACTCACCCCGCTCACCTCCACTCACCAGCTCACCTCCGCTCACCAGCTCACCTCCACTCACCCCGCTCACCTCCGCTCACCAGCTCACCTCCGCTCACCCCCTCACCTCCACTCACCCCGCTCACCTCCACTCACCAGCTCACCTCAACTCACCAGCTCACCTCCACTCACCCCGCTCACCTCCGCTCACCAGCTCACCTCCGCTCACCAGCTCACCTCCACTCACCCCGCTCACCCCGCTCACCTCCACTCACCGCGCTCACCCGCTCACCTCCACTCACCTCCACTCACCAGCTCACCTCCGCTCACCAGCTCACCTCCACTCACCCCGCTCACCCCGCTCACCCCGCTCACCTCCACTCACCGCGCTCACCCCGCTCACCTCCACTCACCTCGCTCACCCCCTCACCCCCGCTCACCCCCTCACCTCCACTCACCTCCACTCACCCCTCACCTCCACTCACCTCCACTCACCTCCACTCACCCCCTCACCTCCACTCAACCCACTCACCTCCACTCACCCCCTCACCTCCACTCACCTCCACTCACCCCGCTCACCCCCTCACCCCGCTCACCCCCTCACCTCCATTCACCCCACTCACCTCCACTCACCCCCTCACCTCCACTCACCCCTCACCTCCACTCACCCCGCTCACCCCGACTCACCCCGACTCACCCCCTCACCTCCACTCACCCCCTCACCTCCACTCACCCCCTCACCTCCACTCACCTCCACTCACCCCGCTCACCCCCTCACCCCGCTCACCCCCTCACCTCCACTCACCCCACTCACCTCCACTCACCCCCTCACCTCACTCACCCCCTCACCTCCACTCACCTCCACTCACCCCGCTCACCCCGACTCACCCCCTCACCTCCACTCACCCCCTCACCTCCACTCACCCCCTCACCTCCACTCACCTCCACTCACCCCGCTCACCCCGCTCACCGTCTCACCCCGACTCAGGAAGTATTTTTCTGGGCCCCAGGGCTCGTGGTCCCACGACAGTCCCGGCGACGATCTGAATCGGTCGTGGACCTCCCTTAGGTGAACTCGGCCTTAAAAAGGGGGGGGGGTACCTGTAAATGGTGGGCCCCCCCGCCATCACGCCATCAGCTCCCGGGTGGGGGGGGGGCGGGCGTGTGGTGGCAGCCACGCGCCTCCTGGTGGCGCGGCAGCGCTGTCTGCATTGGCGAGGGGGGTGTGGGTGTGTTTGCGTGTGTGTGGGTGTGTGTTGCGTGTGTGTGGGGTTGTGTTTGCGTGCGTGTGTGTAGGTGCGTGTGTGTGCGGGTGTGTAGTGGTGTGTGTGGGTGTGTGTGTGTGGGTGCGTGTGTGTGGGTGGGTGCGTGTGTGCGTGTAGGGGTGTGTAGGGGTGCGTGTAGGGGTGTGTGGGTGCATGTGTGTAGGGGTGTGTGGGTGCGTGTAGGTGTGTGTAGGGTGCGTGTAGGGTGCGTGTGTGGGGGGAGACGTGGTTTAGCGGTTAGCGCGCTGCCCTATGAACCTGGCGTCCCGGATGATCTGAACCAGTCCCGGGCCTCCCTAGGTCGACTCAATCCTCAAATGAGTACCTGGGGCGGTGTGTAACATCGTCACTCGGGAGACAAAGGCGGCCGGGCGTGGTGTTGGCCACCAAACCCCCTCGTGTGACGTGCCGGCCTTCATAGGTGCTGCTCGCTAACAGCACTTGCCCGACAGTCTGTTAAGGCTACACGGGGGATCTTTGTCTTTGTGGGGAGCGGCAGTGTAGTGGTCAGCGCGCTACGATTCCCGCTCACGGCAACACCAGTGACGATTATCTGAACCGGTCCTGGGCCTCCCCTAGGTCGACTCGGCCTCAAAACGGGTGCGGTGTGCAATAAACATCGCCACTGGGGAGACAAAGGCGGTCGGGCGAGGGAGCTGGTCCATCCCGCGTGATGTCCCGGCCTCCGTAGCGCTGCCTCGCCCCCTTCTTTGGATGAACAGCAGCAGATGATCTTCTTGGTTCTTTCGGTAAAGTCACGTAGAAGGGTAAAAATAAAATAATAAAACATAATAAAATACAATTCTCACGACGTTTCGGCCACAACGCAAGCAGCCGTCCTCATGTGAAGAACAGGTCTGTCGGAAAGACAGCGTCTGAATGAACACCACCACGCTTGGCAGCGTATATTTAAGCTGGGTTGGAGGGGGAAGGGCGCCTTGACAAAGGAATTTGCATATCAAGAGGAATTTAGCATATTTATGGCAAATGCTGATATGTGATTAGTCACTACTTGTGGAATGCGTAGGAGGTGGGGGGGGTCTCAAAGTCATATTATGCCCGTGCATTATGTAGGATTAGCAGCATCGAAGGGAGGGAGTAGGATTAGCAGTAATAAAGGGAAGGTATTTTAATAGTAAGGAGCTGCAGCAGCAGATGGAATTGTGTCATTTTAGATGTGTCCACTCAATTGTCTTGCCCCACCCCCCCAAACGCTCTGATAAGGCTGCTGTATTGGGGGTCGATCTTTGTCTCTCGCAGCCTGCACGGAAACTGGCTGCTCCTGAACATGAGGGCACGCAGGGACAGCGGCCCTACCTGACCGACAGTACGACGACTGCATCGCGCACACTAAATCATAGATACTGTGTGGTTTTCATCTTACTATATATTGTGTTGTTTTCATCTCACTATATATTGTGTTGTTTTCATCTCACTATATATTGTGTTTTCATCTCACTATATAGTTTTTATCTCAGTATATATTGTTGTGTTCATCTCACTATATATTGTGTTGTTTCATCTCACTATATATTGTGTTGTTTTCATTTTACTATATATTGTGTTGTTTTCATCTTACTATATATTGTGTTGTTTTCATCTCACTATATATTGTGTTGTTTTAATCTCACTATATATGGTGTTGTTTTCATCTCACTATATATTGTGTTGTTTTCATCTCACTATATATTGTGTTGTTTTCATCTCACTATATATTGTGTTGTTTTCATCTCACTATATATTGTGTTGTTTTCATCTCACTATATATTGTTGTTTTCATCTCACAAGGTAAGGCGCCACTGAGCGATGTCCTTGGCCATCACGAATGACAGCTAAACGCAGTTGGCTTATCATCATCATCATGTGGAGAATGTTTGCAGCTAAAATACTCTGAAATGCGTGATGTCAACTCAATATACAGCAGCAGGCGTCAGGGTCGGGATCGAACCCACGACCTCCTGTATACCAGGCGAGGGAGTTAACATCTCCTAGCCACCGTGGTGATGGTGGTGGAACCCACGACCTCCTGCAAACCAGGCGAGGGAGTTAACATCTCGCGTGGCCACCGCAGTTAAAAATTATTTATCCCGCAGCGGAGCGAGCAACAATCTCGCCACCACGGCATCTCCACGCCACGACACGTGCGTGTGTGGTGTTGTGTGTGGTGTTGTGTGTGTGGTGTGTGTTGTGTGTGGTGTGTTGTGTGTGGTGTGTTGTGTGTGTGGTGTGTGCGCGTGTGGTGTAGTGGTTAGCGCGCTCTCACTCTCCCCTCTCTCTCACTCTCCTCTCTCTCACTCTCCCCCTCTCTCACTCTGCTCACTCTCACTCTCCTCACTCTCCCCCCTCTCTCACTCTCCCCCCTCTCTCACTCTCTCTCACTCTCCTCACGCTCTCACTCTCCCCTCTCACTCTCCTCACTCACTCTCTCACTCCCCCCTCTCTCACTCTCCCCTCTCTCTCACTCTCTCTCCTCACTCTCACTCACTCTCCTCACTCACTCTTTCACTCTGCTCACTCTCCCCTCCAGACTTCGGAGCGAAACCTCTGCAGCTGACCCCGCGGCGCCCGAGTGGAACCGATGACGGCCGACAGCCTCGCCTCGCTCCGCCACCGCCGCCGCAGTGACTCCGTTTATTCACGTGGCTGCAGCAAACGCGGCCGCAGCAAACGCGGACGCTTACACTCAAGACGCGTTCAATAGCGCCTCCGGCACCTCGCAATCGTCACACGACTCACAAATAATAATACTACGACGAATAATAATAAAGTCAAAAAATACCCGGGAATGATATTCAGAGTGCGTGGCGGTCACGAGGTACTACAGGATGAGCCAGAGAACGCAGGGCGAGGGGCAGAGGTGGCACGGATCGGCACGGATCGGCGTTCATACCCCCTGCGCGCCTCACCCAGCGCGCCTCACCCCACGCTCCTCACCCCGTGCTCCTCACCCCACGTGCCTCACCCCGCGCCGAGAGACACCGAGCCCCGCTCCGAAACCGTCAGCAGAAGCACAACGTCAGCGGTGGGGAGAAGGGGGCTGAGGCGTCCATCAGGGGTGGCCAAGGGTGTCCAGGTACGGCGAGGCGGCCGTGGCGGAGAGGGCACGGAACGCTTGGGGGCACGGCAAGGTGGCCGAGGCAAAGCTAATGAGGGTGGCCAATAGTACGACACAAAAGGCAAGCGTCCCCCGTGTAGCCTTCAACAGAGTGGAGGGGCAAGTGCTGTTAGCGAGCACCTGTGAAGGCCGGCTCGGCACACGAGGGGGTGGGTGGCCAGCACCACGCCCGGCCGCCTTTGTCTCCCCAGTGGCGATTTTTAAGCACCGTACCGGGTACTCATTTGAGGCTGAGTCGACCTACGGGAGGCCCAAGACCGGTTCAGATAATCGTCACCGGCGTTGACCGTGAGCAGGAATCGAACTCGGGTCCTCGGGTTCGTAGCGCAGCGTAGCGCCAACCGCTACACCACCGCTCCCCAAGAGTACAACAAAGACGTGCACGTAGGCGCACGCACACACACACATATCGACATAAGCCCACACGTACGCACGCACACACACACATCGACATAAGCACACACGTACGCACACAGCAACGCACTTAGCAGCTACGTGAAGCAGACGCGCACGTACAAGAACAACACGCGCTGGCACACCGGCACACAGACACGCAGACACGCAAACCACGGGACGCGCAGACACACGGACACACGGACACGCGGACGGGCGGGCTACAACCCCGTCTGGGCCCGGCGGTCCTCGCTGAAGAATCCGCGCAGCAGCAGCACCTGCCCGGCGCCCACGAGCAGCAGCAGCGCCGTCTCGCCCAGCGACCAGAGCGCCACGCGCGTGCGCAGCTCCTCGGCACGCGCGCGGCCCTGGCTCTCGCGCAGCCGGTGGTGCGTCTGGTAGTCCAGCGTCGCACGCAGGCCCTCGTGGATGCTCACGCACGATGACTCCATCTGCGCGGGGCGGGGTGGGGGGCAATGTTGGTGGGTGGTTGTGTGTTTGGGTGGTTGTGGAGGGTGGTTGTGGAGGGTGGTTGTGAGTGGTGGTGCTTGTGAGTAGTGGTGCTTGTTGGTGCAGGGTGGTGGTTGTGAGTGGTGGTGGTTGTGAGTGGTGGTGGTTGTGAGTGGTGGTGATTGTGAGTGGTGGTGGTTGTGAGTGGTGGTGGTTGTTGGTGCTTGTTGGTGCAGGGTGAGTGGTGGTGGTTGTGAGTGGTGGTTGTTGTGAGTGGTGGTTGTTGTGAGTGGTGGTGGTTGTGAGTGGTGGTTGTTGTGAGTGGTGGTGGTTGTGAGTGGTGGTTGTTGTGAGTGGTGGTGGTTGTGAGTGGTGGTGGTTGTGAGTGGTGGTGGTTGTGAGTGGTGGTGGTTGTGAGTGGTGGTTGTTGTGAGTGGTGGTTGTTGTGAGTGGTGGTGGTTGTGAGTGGTGGTGCTTGTTGGTGCTTGTTGGTGCAGGGTGAGTGGTGGTGGTTGTGAGTGGTGGTTGTTGTGAGTGGTGGTTGTTGTGAGTGGTGGTGGTTGTGAGTGGTGGTTGTTGTGAGTGGTGGTGGTTGTGAGTGGTGGTGGTTGTGAGTGGTGGTGGTTGTGAGTGGTGGTGGTTGTGAGTGGTCGTGCTTGTTGGTGCAGGGTGAGTGGTGGTGGTTGTGAGTGGTGGTTGTTGTGAGTGGTGGTGGTTGTGAGTGGTGGTGGTTGTGAGTGGTGGTGCTTGTTGGTGCAGGGTGGTGGTTGTGAGTGGTGGTGGTTTTGAGTGGTGGTGGTTGTGAGTGGTGGTGGTTGTGAGTGGTGGTGGTTGTGAGTGGTGGTGCTTGTTGGTGCAGGGTGGTGGTTGTGAGTGGTGGTGGTGGTGAGTGGTGGTTGTTGTGAGTGGTGGTGGTGGTGAGTGGTGGTTGTTGTGAGTGGTGGTGGTTGTGAGTGGTGGTGGTTGTGAGTGGTGGTTGTTGTGAGTGGTGGTGGTTGTGAGTGGTGGTGGTGGTGAGTGGTGGTTGTTGTGAGTGGTGGTGGTTGTGAGTGGTGGTGGTTGTGAGTGGTGGTGGTTGTGAGTGGTGGTTGTTGTGAGTGGTGGTGGTTGTGAGTGGTGGTGCTTGTTGGTGCAGGGTGGTGGTTGTGAGTGGTGGTGGTGGTGAGTGGTGGTTGTTGTGAGTGGTGGTTGTTGTGAGTGGTGGTGGTTGTGAGTGGTGGTGGTTGTGAGTGGTGGTGTTGTGAGTGGTGGTTGTTGTGAGTGGTGGTGGTTGTGAGTGGTGGTGGTGGTGAGTAGTGGTGCTTGTTGGTGCAGGGTGGTGGTTGTGAGTGGTGGTGGTTGTGAGTGGTGGTTGTTGTGTGTGGTGGTGGTTGTGAGTGGTGGTGCTTGTTGGTGCAGGGTGGTGGTTGTGAGTGGTGGTGGTTGTGAGTGGTAGTTGTTGTGAGTAGTAGTGGTGGTTGTGAGTAGTAGTGGTGGTTGTGAGTGCTGGTGGTGCTTGCGAGTAGTGGTGGTGGTGGTGCTCGTTGTGGCTGGTGGTGGTGGCGGTGTTTGAGGCCCCCACCTGGGTGAGCGCCGTGACGCGGCGGCCCATCTCGGGCACGAGCGGGGCCTCGTCCCCGACCTGCAGCTCAAAGTAGACCGTCTTGTGCGAGAAGGTCGAGAACTCGTTGGAGAAGCAGAAGCTGTGGAGGCCGCCGCGCTCGCTCGTCCACGCGAAGCTGTCGTGCTGCTTGCGCGTCTCCGTGTAGAGCACGCCGCCCTCGGGGTCCTCCAGACGGCAGTCCACGTCGTAGTGGCCCCCCGTGATCACCTGGCGCGTCACGCGAGGACGTCAGCCGCCTCGCCTGGTATACAGGAGGGTTCGATCCCGACGCTGACGATTGCCTGCCGCTGTACGTTTGGAGTCCGTGTTGTCTCTCTCTCTCTCCGTCGAGAGATGTTGACTACCTCGCCTGGTATACAGGAGGGTTCGATCCCGACCCTGACGATGCCTGCCGCTGTACGTTTGGAGTTTGTGTTGTCTCTCTCCGTCGAGAGATGTTGACTACCTCGCCTGGTATACAGGAGGGTTCGATCCCGACCCTGACGATGCCTGCCGCTGTACGTTTGGAGTTTGCGTGTCTCTCTCTCTCCACGGCGAGATGTTAACTACCTCGCCTGGTGTACAGGAGGTCGTGAGTTAATTCCAGACCCTGACGCCTGCTGCTGTATATTTGGAGTTTGCGTGTCTCTCTCTCATCATCATCATGGTGGCTAGGAGATGTTAACTACCTCGCCTGGTATACAGGAGCTCATGGGTTCGATCCCTACCCTGACGCCTGCTGCTGTATATTTGGAGTTTGCGTGTGTTTCTCCCCATGGACACGTGGATTTTTCTCCGGGTCGTCCGGTTTCCCCCCCACATTTATAATCAATATTTGGCTGCTATAAATGTCCACGCGACGATAGGCCACTTCGTTGGGCTATTATTTGTGATAGCCATGTTGCTTCTGAAACAGAGCTGTGTAGCTCAGTGGGGCCTTATCTCGTCGGATAAGAATTTGTTTAAATGTTTTAGAGGCATCTCCTATCGACTGGCCCTCACCTCGATTCCAGCCCCCCCCCCCCCCCCCGCCGTTCTACTTAATTAAATAGACTTTTTGATGTTTTCTCCTACAACATCAGAGTGCAGCGCCACATTAAATACGCACTACAATGACAATAGTTTAAAGAGATCTGAAGCATGTTTTATTTTTTTGGGGGGGGGGGGGGGGGCAGAGCTTTGTGACGTCATATTTGAGGGGGGGGGTCTGACTTTTTGTGACGCCGTGTGACGAGGGAAGGGGGGGTTAAAAATTGTCCAAATCGCGTGACGTCATTTATGGACGGCCCCAAAGGTGACTCAAGTGGCTAATAACGTAAAAACATTTAAAAAAATGTATTTCACCAGGTAAGGCTCACCGAGATATTAGCTTATTTGGCCATCACGAACGACAGCTCAACGAAAGTGAGCTCACGTCATCATCGTCATCGCGTGCACATTTACGGAATAGGGGGTCCGTAACCTTTCAAGGAAGAAGAAGAGCCATTATTATTATTTAGTTATTGACAAAATAGTTTGGAGAGCCGCACGACACGCGCAGAGCTGCTTGTACACAGACACAGCAGCCGACAATAACAACAACATTCTGACTTAAACTAAACAAGTGGTGAACTAAACTGTTTCTAGATTAGAAGTTTCCGTGACTGCAAGGATTTTTTCGGTAAAGTCACGTGGGTAGAAATATAAAATAAATTAAAAATGAAAACAAATAAATGAAATCACGACGTTTCGGGCGCAACACAAGCGTCCTTCCTCAGGTGTTGCGCCCGAAACGTCGTGATTTTCATTTATTTGGTTTTAATTTCGATTTAAAGCTTTCGTGACTGCAGGGATTCATCTTCTTGGTTCTTTCGGTAAAGTCACGTAGAAGGGAAGTAATAAAATAATAAAATAAAACATAATAAAACAATTCTCACGACGTTTCGGCCACAACGCAAGCAGCCGTCCTCAGGTGAAGAACAGGTCTGTCGAGGCGACAGACGCTGTCGCCTAGGTTATTTGGATAATTTGGTTTTATTTTTTATTTATTTCATATTTTTACCTAATAAACTTTGTCTACTCGGCTGTTTCCCTCCCCCCCCACCACATTCGTTGCTCTGTAACAACAACGCAGTTTGTGACCAAGACATTGCACAGTGACCCACGTTACGTCATCAAGTATCTTGACGTTAAATTGCGTTTAGAGATTCAAGGTTTTTATTTAAAAACCGATCTTCTCGCGCAAGGTGGCACCGCGTGCCTCGCTCCAGAGCCGCGGGTTGACAACCCCGAGGGTGGTGGACCCCTTCACCCCCCCCCTGTCCCCCTGACCTCCTGACCCCAGGGCCCCCTTCCCCCCCCCCCCGATCCCCTGACCTCCTCACCCCGGGGACCCCTTCACCCCCCCCCCCTGACCTCCTCACCCCGGGGACCCCCATCACCCCCCTCCCCCTGACCTTCTGACCCCAGGGACCCCTTCACCCCCCCCCCCTTTCCCAGTGACCTCCTCACCCAGGGACCCCCTTCACCCCAGCCTCCCCCGTCCCCCTGACCTCCTCACCCAGGGACCCCCTTCACCCCAGCCTCCCCCGTCCCCCTGACCTCCTCACCCAGGGACCCCCTTCACCCCAGCCTCCCCCGTCCCCCTGACCTCCTCACCCCAGGGCCCCCTTCGCCCTCCCCCCGACCCCGTGACCTCCTGACCCCGAGGGTGGTGGATCCCTTCACCCTTCACCCCCTCCCGTCCCCGTGACCTCCTGACCCCAGGGCCCCCTTCACCCCCCCCGACCCCGTGACCTCCTGACCCCGGCTGCCCTCACCTGGTACTCGAGCGAGGCGCGGGCCCCCGCCGCCACGTGCTGGTAGAAGCACTGCCTCGCGTTGTCGGGCAGCTCGAACGTGAGCTCCGTGGCGGAGCCCGCCGACACGCCAAGCAGCAGCAGCGGGGGGAGCAGGAGGTGGAGGTGGTGGAGGAGGTGGTGGAGGAGGTGGAGCGGCCATAGGGCCTGGCGCCCCCCCCCAGCACGGGGACTCACTCGGCTCCTCATGAGACCCCCCCGGCTCAGCGCATCCAGTAGTGACCCCCTCACCCCGCTCCCACTCACTCACTCACTCACCCCCTCACCTCCTCACTCACCGACTGCCTCACTCCCTCCCTCACCTCCTCACTCACCCCCTCACTCACCCCCTCACCCACCCACTCACTCACCCCCTCACTCACTCACTCACCTCCTCACTCACCCCCTCACCCACCCCCTCACCTCCTCACTCACCCACCCCCTCACCTCCTCACTCACCCACCCCCTCACCTCCTCACTCACCCTCTCACTCACCGACTGCCTCACTCACTCCCTCGCTCACCCCCTCACCTCCTCACTCACCTCCTCGCTCACCCCCTCACCCCCTCACTCACCTCCTCACTCACCCTCTCACCCCCTCACTCACCCCCTCACCCACCCTCTCACCCACCCTCTCACCTCACTCACCCCCTCACCCTCTCACTCACCGACTGCCTCACCTCCTCACTCACCTCCTCACTCACCTCCTCACTCACCTACTCACCCACCTCCTCACTCACCCTCTCACTCACCGACTGCCTCACTCACCCCCTCACCTCCTCACTCACCTCCTCACTCACCCTCTCACTCACCGACTGCCTCACTCACCCCCTCACTCACCTCCTCACTCACCTCCTCACTCACCCCCTCACCCCCTCACCTCCTCACTCACCGACTGCCTCACTCACCCCCTCACTCACCTCCTCACTCACCTCCTCACTCACCCCCTCACCCCCTCACCTCCTCACTCACCGACTGCCTCACTCACCCCCTCACTCACCTCCTCACTCACCTCCTCACTCACCCCCTCACCCCCTCACCTCCTCACTCACCGACTGCCTCACTCACCCCCTCAGCAGTACACAAATCCCCTCTGTGCTGTCCCTCTCTGCGTTGATTGACAGCGCCACGCGCATGCGCACAACCGTTCTCTCGCTGGCCCGCGCGAGGCGACGACGGCCCGTCCCACGTGACCGAGGGGCGGGGCCCCCAACGTGGCACGTCCACGTGGCGGAAGCGGCCGTGACGTCACGCGGAAAAACAAACACGTGACGTCACGGTGGCTCGTGACGTCATGCGCGGGAACACCATTCCGGTGACGTCACTGCGGTAGGGGGGGAAGGTAAACAAGCGGCATTACGTCACGCCCCGCTCCGGACGTGCGCACGAATGACGTCATCCGCAAGCGTTGTGAACCCGCGTGACCCCTGCTGACCAATCGCACACACACGGGGTCTGGAGGTCGAGGGAAGCGGTCGTGCGAGTCTCCTCGGCAACAACAGCCACTTCGTGAGTTACACCAACAACAACCATTCACCAACAACAACAACCATTCACCACCACCATCCACAACAACCTACAACCATTCACCACCAACAACAACAACCATTCACCACCACCAACAACCATTCACCACCACCAACAACCATTCACCACCACCATCCACAACCATTCACCACCACCATCCACAACAACCTACAACCATCCACAACAACGCTACACACAACCACCACCATAATCATCCACAACAACAACCACCCACCACCAACAACCACCCACCACCGTCCACAACAACCCTACACACAACCACCACAACCATCCACAACAACCACAACCACCACCACCCACAACAACCATAACAACCCACCACATCAATCCTACACACAACCACAACCATCCCCAACACGCCCCGCAAACAAAGATCCCCCGTGTAGCCTGTAGCAGACTGTAGGGGCAAGTGCTGTGAGCGAGTAGCAGCACCACCTATGGAAGGTCGGCACGGCACACGAGGGGGTGGGTGGGTGGGCCAGCTACCACGCCCGGCCGCCTTTGTCTCCCCACTGTGAGACACAGCCACACAAACCTCACACAATCGCTCAGACAACAGCCACATCCAGTGTAGCTATCGCACGCATTTGCTGCTGCTGCTGCGGTGTTTAGCAGTGGCGGTACGAACACAAAAACGCCACGTGGCCGTGTGGTACTGCAGCCTTGCACCCCTCCCCCCTTAGGTTATCGATAGTTAAAACAAGTAAACCCGTAAAAACAAAGTTTTTCACTATAATACTTTATATGCGTGGCATCGGGGCGGCTAGAGTCCTCTCGTCCTCTGGCTTGAGATGGCTGCCAACTATGGGTCAGATGATTGGCAGCATTAAACAATTGGTAATTAAATATTTTTAAAAAAATCCCTAAACAGTGTAAAATGTTGGAATTTTTTTCACGAAAATGCATTGTCACGCACAACGAGTCTGTGTGCAAAATGTCAGCTCGATTGGATCACGGGAAGTGGGTTAAAAAACGACCGAAAGATTTGCACGGTCCTAAGCAAGCAAGCAAGTGAACTTAATATAAAGGATTTAAAAAGTAGAACGTTAATCACTACATAGGGTTTGATGAAACAACAAAGTTTAAACGTACGTGCCCGTGTGCTTAATTTCGTGTTTTCGATTATTTGCCTTCGAAAAAAAATAAAAATCTGCCCATGTCTCGCACCTCCCCAGAAAGGGCATCTCCCACAGGCGAATAAAAACCACTGGTCTATTATATACAGCGCACTAGACGGTGGCCGACGTTTCGGCCGATGGCCTTTGTTCACAGCACGCGGAGTGCGTTGTTGTTGGGAGTTGTTGGACGACTTTGGGCGACTCATGGGCGGGTTGACGCTCGGTTCCGGGGAAGCCAAGCGGGAGGATGAGACTGGATGCATAACGGGTGCTATAGGTGACATTGTCAACACCGCGACTGGGGAGGAAGGCCTTCATCCAGCAGTGGATCACAGTAAAGGGCCGGACACGTGCCACCCGCGAGAACAATGCACGGTGGGGGTTGTGCCCCAGTATCAGGCGCCAGTAACAGTGGTGGGGGAGGGGGTGATAGCAGCGAGGAATGCGACAATACAGCAGCAGCAGCAGCAACAACGGTCGTCGCCATGCCGCGTGGCGGTCGAGGCTTGGGCCCTGACCCCTCCAGTGACCCCCTCCCCCACGGTGACCCCCTCCCCCACGTGTGACCCCACCCACGCTCCCGGGCAACCTTCCCCCTAATCCCCCCCTTTGACCCCTCCTCCCCCGTGACCCTCCCTTTATGACTCCTCCCCCGTGACCCCCACGCCCTATGACTCCTCCCTCGTGACCGCTCCCCCGTGACCCCACCCATACTTCCGGGCCCCCTTCCGATGACCCCTAACCTTTGACCCCTCCTCCCCCGTGACCCCTTTCCTATGACCCCCCCGTACAGGTCACAGCTCTCGCCATGTGGTCCCTGCTGCGCCGTGCGGCCACGCTGCGTGGGGCCGCAGCCCTGGGGCAGCGCACGGCGGCCACAGGCGGCGACGGGCCTCGGCTGCCCGTGCTCACCCTCTTCACCAGGGTGAGGCCGCACGTGCCCCGCTCGCCTCCCCACCCTCCCGCTTTCTAAATTACACTGGTCAAAAAAAAAATCTCTGGCCTGGACTTTTGTAGCTGTTCTAGACTAATTTCAGGGTGCCGATTCCAAAAATTTGATTGCAGGTTGTTGCAAGTCAGTGACTGCTTTAGTGTTAAATTATGGTGCTGTATTTTTAGAATAGTGTGTTTATAATATAATTTTATGTAGATATCCACATTTATTTAATATTTTTCTTCTGCAGTTTTTATTGAAAATGCAATATTTGATATCTCAAAAACCTGATGAGACAAAAACTGACGCCAGATTTGGAATCAGCACCCCAAAATTACCTTAAAACCGTTGGAATACCTTATGCCAGAAAAAGTGTGTTGACCAGTGTTATTTTATTAATCGGGTAAGGCCTACCGAGATGTGTAGCTCTTTTTCAGAAGCTCAACGAAGTGGGCTTATCATCACCATGTGGAAATTGATAGCAGCAGTCCAAATACTCTGAATGTGTCTGATGTTAGCTATACATGTGGAGGGGTCAACCGGAGGAACATTCACGCAACCACGGGGAGAGCATGCATACTTCAAATATACAGCAGGCGTTAAGGTCGGGATTGAACCCACGACCTCCTGTATAACAGGCGAGGTGGTTAACATCTCGTAGCCACCGTGGCAACCCCCCTCACACTTTCCTTCCGACCTCATCATCACCTCCCTCTCCTCACCATCACAGCCCCTCTCTGTGTGGGCCCCCACCCACTGACAGCCACTAACGCGCACCGCTTTCTCTGTGCAGCACCCGTGCGTCCTGTGCAACGAGGCCAAGGAGGTGCTGAAGCCGTTCCTTCACCGGGTGAGCTACGGAGCAACCACCACCACCACCACTCGCAACAAACCCATCACCACAAACCCATCACCACAAACCCACCACCACAAACCCACCACCACAAACCCACCACCACAAACCCATCACAGGAGTAGTTACCACCACCATCACGACCACCACCCGCGCGTGACCCTGTCGCCCCGTGTTGGCTGCACGCGCCGCCAGGTGGAGCTGGAGGAGGTGGACATCATGCATTCGGCTCACAGCTACTGGTTCCAGCGCTACCGCCACGACATCCCGGTGGTGCACCTGGACGGGCGCTTCGTCATGGAGCACCGCGTGCACCCCGGCGAGCTGGAGCGGCGCCTCAGCGCGATCGAGCAGTACCGACGCGACAAGGCCGCGGCAGCCGGCAAGGAGGCAGCCGGCAAGGAGGCAGCCGGCAAGGGGGCAGCCGGCAAGGGGGCAGCCGGCGGCGGCGGCAAGGGGGCAGCCGGGGCGCCCTCGCAGAACGTGGCGTGACGAGGGGCCTCCTAGGGTTACCTCCGCTGCGTTACCCCCTGTAGCAGTGGGGGGGTGTGTGGGGTAGTGCAGTAGTTTGTCGTCACTTTGTTCAGTTGCACATATCAAATTGATGACGGGTACGAGATCTGTGCCCCACAGTACGAGGCCTCTAGTTCTTCGCGTGGGCAGAGGCCGAGGTAGCGGAGAGAAGGGCGAGGCGAGCACGTGAAGAATCAGCTTTATTGTTACAGTATTCGGCTTACTTGAAACTCCAACGGGCCTCTTTACATTAAATAGTGAAATCGGCAATCGCTGCCTCGGGCTGACAAAATAAAATTTGTACGTTTAAAGAGTGCGTCAGTCAGTTCTGTTGCTCGCTTTGTCCACCGTGAAGCGCCCGCTTTTCCCGGCCTCGGAGCGGACACCCCAGGGTACGAGCGAGGAGCGAGGGGGGCGGAGGAGACTGCGACCGCCCCCTCTCCGAACGCTGCGCGACGTCAGGTTACCGCACCGGCACGGTCGTCAAGTCCACCACGCCGGCACGGTCGTCAAGTCCACCACACCGGCACGGTCGTCAAGTCCACCACGCGGGCACGCAGAGCCAAGGGGGGCGCAACCCCCGCGCCGTCACCAAGTCCCCGCGGCCGGTGGCAGTGGCAGCTCACAGAGACTCGATCTGACGGCGCACCTTGTCCGAGGCGATGCGGTCGAGGCGGCGGTGCCGCAGGGTGACGGCGAGCGCCAGCGCGGCCCCCAGGCCCATGACGGTGAACTCGAAGTGCCAGAAGGCCCGCTCCTCCGCCGTCGCAGAGCGGCAGCTGCACAGAAAAAGAAGAGGCCGTCACGGTTCACGCGCCATAGCGTTGGGTTCGTGTTTACATCTGGAGGCTCCGTCTCTTTAAACTCCGAAACATTTTTTATTTTACCAGATAAGGCGCACTGAGCTGTGTAGCTCTTTTTCAGGAGCGACCTGCTCACAATTGGTAGCTCAACAAAGTGGCTCATCATCACGTGGACATTTATAGCAGCCGTTGATTATAAATCTTGAGGGAAAAACCGGAGGACCCGGAGAAAAATCCACACAACCACAGGGAGAGACACCGCAAACTCCAAATATCTGCACCGCATGGCCACGTCCTTCCCATGTTTAACCCAGGTCGCGTTTGCAAGAGCGGCATTGTATCATGGCGGGCGGTGGTGGCTGTGCGCGCCTGTAATCCGGCACTGTGGTGGCAGTGAGTGTTGGTGCATCACAAATGTTACAAAATTCCACGTGGGCAGAGGAGCCTCGTCCCCTTGGCTCGCCAGCAGAGGTCGCAACCGGGTACCCGTTTGCGACCCTGGTGCGGCCGGGTACGGGTACGCCGTGAGTCACTGGTGAGTAACTCTTTGTCACTCATTTCCCAACGTCTTGTCTCTTCTCACAATTCAAGTTCCTAGAATCAACCCACCCACGCCTGCAACATGGCTTCATCCCAGAGGTCGCAATCGGGTACCCGATACCTGTACCCTACCCTACCCGGCCGGGTACGGGTACCCATTTGCGACCCTGGTGCGGCCGGGTACGGGTAAGGAATCAAAACCCGTTTGCGACCTCTGCTTGCCAGGAGATACAGCAAAAATGTCGACCCCGTCCGTTCAATTTGTTTTTTGTACTGTTTTTAAACATGTAGTTACTAGTTATAGCCCACTGAGCTATTCACTTTTTGAGAGGAAACCTGGGCACACGTAACTTTAACTTTCAATTTTATTTTACCACGGCCAACTAAGCTATATAGCTCTATCTCATTCAAGTGGCTGATATCATGTCAGAATTCATAGCCAAATCATCTAAATGCTTTTAAAAGTGGAGCGAAAAACCAGAGGACCCGGAGAAAAATCCATGCGACGATGGAGAGAGAGAACAAGCAAACTCCAAAAATACAGGCGTCGGGGTGGGGATCGAACCCACGACCTCCTGCACAACAAACGAAGAGGTAACAGCTCACAAGCCTGAGTTTTTTCTGGTTGCTCAGATTTCCTCTCGCATCTAAACACTCGTTGGTCGATAACACCTTAATATAAAGAGAACGACAGAGCTTGGGAAATTGGAGTCGGCTCATCGCGTGGCTGCCTTCCTGCTCGTCTTTGGTTCCTCCCTCGCACCTTTGTGTCAGTCTCTCTCCACGAGAGCGAGAGATTATTGTGTGCATTACAAAATTGAAATGATTAAATTACGAGTCTCAAAGAGCTTATTATTTACTTAATCTCCTGGTTAAATGACCGGCTAACCGCAAGGTCACTTCTTCCATTTCCTGCGGAGTCACCGGGTGCTGCTCACCTGCGGAACTCGTCCTTGTGCGAATCCACGCAGCTCAGCTTCTCCACAAATCCCGTGGCTACGCAGGCCTCCATCGCCGTCTGTGAGGGGCGGCAACGGCGGGGAGAGTGATCCAACCACACGACTCTGACCAGCAGGACCACTACCACCTCCATCACACCCAGCAGGACCACCACCTTCCTCACTCAGCAGGACCACCACCTCCAATCTCACCCAGCAGGACCACCACCTTCCTCACTCAGCAAGACCACCACCTCCAATCTCACCCAGCAGGACCACCACCACCTCCATCTCACTCAGCAGAACCACCACCTCCATCACACCCAGCAGGACCACTACCTCCATCACACCCAGCAGGACCACCACCACCTCCATCACAACCAGCAGAACCACCACCTCCATCACACCCAGCAGGACCACTACCTCCATCTCACTCAGCAGGACCACCACCACCTCCATCACACCCAGCAGGACCACCACCTCCAATCTCACCCAGCAGGACCACCACCTCCATCACACCCAGCAGGACCACTACCACCTCCATCACACCCAGCAGGACCACTACCACCTCCATCTCACTCAGCAGGACCACCACCACCTCCATCACACCCAGCAGGACCACCACCACCTCCATCTCACTCAGCAGGACCACCACCACCTCCATCTCACTCAGCAGGACCACCACCACCTCCATCTCACTCAGCAGGACCACCACCACCTCCATCACACCCAGCAGAACCACCACCACTTCCATCACACCCAGCAGGACCACCACCACTTCCATCACACCCAGCAGGACCACCACCTCCATCACACCCAGCAGGACCACCACCTCCATCACACCCAGCAGGACCACCACCACCTCCATCACACCCAGCAGGACCACCACCACCTCCATCTCACCGAGCAGAACCACCACCTCCTCCATCACACCCAGCAGGACCACCACCTCCATCACACCCAGCAGGACCACCACCTCCATCACACCCAGCAGGACCACCACCACCTCCATCACACCCAGCAGGACCACCACCTCCATCACACCCAGCAGGACCACCACCACCTCCATCACACCCAGCAGAACCACCACCACCTCCATCTCACCGAGCAGAACCACCACCTCCTCCATCACACCCAGCAGGACCACCACCTCCATCACACCCAGCAGGACCACCACCTCCATCACACCCAGCAGGACCACCACCTTCCTCTTACCCCGCGGGTCCACTCACCACCTCCATCTCACTCTGCAGGTCCACCACCAACATCTCATACAGCAGATTCATGACCACTCGACCCCATAAGTTCACCGTCATGTTACCCAGCAAGCCCATTAGAAAACTTAACGAACAAAGTCCACTGCCCCACCTGGCTCTACACGGTGCTGCTCGTTTGTGTTGCAAGTAATGTGCCGTGTGTGGTTTGTGTGTGTGTTGTGTGCGTGTGTTGGGAGCGTTGTGTGTGTGTTGGGGTATGTTTTGTGTGTGTTGTGTGTGTTCTGCGTGTGGGTTGCGGTGCTCACGCTCTGGAAGTCGGAGCACGGGGCGCAGGGCTGCACTGTTCGGTACTCCTCCAGCGCCCAGCAAGGAAGCGGCGTCACTGCGGCCACACACGAGCAGCGCACGTTCCAGGCGACCGTCCACAATCCACCACCGCATTATGCCCCCCCCTCCACTCTGCATTAGACCGGTACGGCCGAGTGGCCTAGAACCGTACAAGCATCCACCGCCAATGCACAGCGCGTGAATCCCATCGCTGGCAAGATGAGATGCCACTGTGGCGGTGAAAAACACAACGCTCTGCCCTCGGATCGGGAATGAATCGGTTCCGAGGCCATGGGAATGCAGGAACGGCCGGGACGTAACCACGGACTTGGGAGGAACAATTCTAGATTTGAAGCTTTCGTGACTGCAAGGATTCATAGTCTTAGGTTTTTTCCTGGTAAAGTCACGTAGGGAAAAAAGTTAAAATTAGGAGGGAGGAACAAGCTGGGGGTGGATGCGGTCACGGATGCCGATTGGCTGCAGCAGCGGCGCTGCGTTCGTTCACGTCCGCGTCATGGGCGTGACGACCGCGTGAGCGCCAGCGGTGGGAACGCTGGCGCTGGGGGGGTCAGGATGAGTTCAACAGCGGGAGCCTCACCTGCAACCGGAGAGCCACGCACACTCGCGGCGTCCGCCACTCTGAAACGAACGAGAGAGATTGTTAGCCAATCTGCGGGGTCGTGTCAGCATTACCGGCAGCGGCAGCAGCATCATTACAGCCAAGGGTAAACTGAAACTAAACTTTTGATTTGACCAGGTAAGGCCCACTGAGCTAGAAGCAAGCTGGCCATAAATGACAGCTTAACAAAAGTGGCTCATCACGTGGACACGTCCAGCAGCAAAATACTCTTAAACGCGCGTTTCTAGATGTGGAGGGAGAAACCGGAGGACACGGAGAAAAATCCACACGACCACAGGGAGAACACGCAAACTCCAAATATACAAGACGCGTCAGGGTCGGGAATCGAACCCACGACCTCCCGTATACCAGGCGAGGTAGTTAACATCTCGCCACCACGACGAGCTATAAACACCATCACTATTAACGATTGTTCCTTGTAAGGCCACAAACGGTTATTTGAGTGTGTTAGGTTTTTTTTACCACTAAATCATTATCATCACCGCCGCCGTTATCATATCATTAACAATGCTCTTCTCACCACCGCTATCATCACCAACCATCATCAACATCACCACCATCGTCACTGCTAACGTAACAATCATAAATCATCATCTTCTCACCATCATCCGAGCATTACTAAAACTATTATCGTCCCATTACCATCGTAAGATCGCCACCACCACCATTTACCATCACAATTACCATGATCATGATTACCATCACTATCATCACAACTACCATCACTATAATCAACCATGACTCATCACAACCACAATCACCATCACAATCACCATAATCACAATCACCATCACAATCACCATCAGTATCATCACCATCACAATCACCATCATTACAATTACCATCACCATCAGTATCATCACCATCATTACCATCACAATCACCATCAGTATCATCACAATCACCATCACCATCATTACAATGACCATTATTACAATCACCATCAGTACAATCACCATCACAATAATCACAATCACCATCACAATCACCATCAGTATCATCACAATCACCATCACCATCATTACAATCAGTATCACTACAATCACCATCATCACCACCATCACAATCACCATCATCACAATCACCATCACCACAATGACCATCACTATAATTACCACCACAATCACCATCATCACAATCACCATCATCACAATCACCATCACCACAATGACCATCACTATAATTACCACCACAATCACCATCACCACAATCACCATCACTATAATTACCACCACAATCACCACCATCACAATCACCATCACCCTGCCCCCCGCACTGACCGGCTCAGGCCCAGTTCCGCTACAAACGCGGCCACAAGCAGCAGCGGCAGCAGCAGCGGCCCCGACTCCCAGCTCCGCATCGCGGGGAGGCCGCGGGGTCCCCCGAGGCCCCCCGAGGGACAAGGGGAGGCCGCGGGTGTGTGAGGCCCCCGGGGCCCCCCGGGGTTCGCTTGGAGGCCGCGGGGCCCACAGAGGAGCGCGTTGAGGCCGCGGGTCGGGAAGGCCGCAGGGCCCAGTGGGTCGCGGGGAGGCCGCTATACGCGAGCCCTGGTGGTGGTGGTGGTGGGGGGGGTGTGCGGGCTCCCTGAGGCGCGAGGAGGAGGAGGAGGAGGCGGCGGCCTGCGTCTCGCGAGGCGCCGCTAGGCGAGGCGGCTGCGAGCCGAGACGAGGAGCAGGAGGAGGCCGAGGAGCGGTAGCGGCGCCACCATGACAGTCGGCGACGTCACGCGGGCGGCGGTGACGACACCGGCGATGACGTGGCGGCGGGGGGCGGGGCTGGTGAGGGGCGGGGCCCGTGGTGGGGGGGGCTGGTGGGGGGGGGCGGCGAGGGGGGGGGGCGATGACGTGGTGGCGGGAGGCGGGGCTGGTGAGGGGCGGGGCCGGTGGTGGGGGGGTCTGGTGGGGGGGGCTGGCGGGGGGGGCTGGCGGGGGGGCCGGCGGGGGGGGCTGTGGCGGGGGCTGGTGGGGGGCGGGGCCGGCGAGGGGGCGGGGCTGGCGGGGGGAGGGGGAGCGGTGGCGCAGTGGTTAGCGCGGCGCTCACGGCCATCAACACCCGGTGACGATTATCTGAACCGGTCCTGGGCCTCTCCGCCTAGGTCGACTCAGCCCCAAACGAGCACCTGGTGCGGTGTGTAAACATCGCCAAAATGGAGACAAAGGCGGCCGGGCGTGGTGCTGGCCACCCACCCACCTCGTGTGCCGTGCCGGCCTTCATAGGTGCTGCTAGCTAACAGCACTTGCCCCAACAGCCTGTTAAGGCTACACGGGGGATATTTGTCTTTGGTGGTGATGGTGGTGGTGGGACTCCCGTGTGCCAGTAGGGGGCACAGCTGCTGTCAGGAGGTCTGTCCCGAGACCTCCTCCTGCCAGCAACACTTCACGTGGCCTCAATGTGCACCTAGCCTGGCACAGGCGCCGTGGCGACGTTACCGTCACTTAGTGGCGAATGGTGATGACGTTGTCCAGCACCACGATGATGACATCACCCAGCACCACAATGGTGATGACATCACCCAGCACACGATGGTGATGACGTAGCCCAGCACCACGATGTGATGACATCACCCAGCACACGATGGTGATGACATCACCCAGCGCCACGATGGTGATGACATCACCCAGCACCACGATGATGATGACATCACCCAGCACACGATGGTGATGACATCACCCAGCACACGATGGTGATGACATCACCCAGCACCACGATGATGATGACATCACCCAGCACCACGATGTGATGACATCACCCAGCACCACGATGATGATGACATCACCCAGCACACGATGGTGATGACATCACCCAGCACACGATGGTGATGACATCACCCAGCACCACGATGATGATGACATCACCCAGCACCACGATGGTGATGACATCACCCAGCACCACGATGGTGATGACATCACCCAGCACCACGATGGTGATGACATCACCCAGCACCACGATGATGATGACATCACCCAGCATACGATGATGATGACATCACCCAGCACACGATGGTGATGACATCACCCAGCACCACGATGTGATGACATCACCCAGCACCACGATGATGATGACATCACCCAGCACACGATGGTGATGACATCACCCAGCACACGATGGTGATGACATCACCCAGCACCACGATGATGATGACATCACCCAGCACCACGATGGTGATGACATCACCCAGCACCACGATGGTGATGACATCACCCAGCACCACGATGGTGATGACATCACCCAGCACCACGATGGTGATGACATCACCCAGCATACGATGGTGATGTCATCTTTTTTATTGATGATACTGATGTAGTTTATATTTTAGCTTTTTACGTGGTGGTTTGGCTGCTGCAGCTCCTTACTATTAAAATTCCGTCCCTTTATTACTGCTAACCCTACATAATACACGAGCATAATATGACTTTGAGACCCCCCCCCCCCACCACCTACACATTCCACAAGTAGTGACTAATCCCATATCTGCATTTCCCATAAATATGCAAAATTCCTCTCGTGATATGCAAATTTCTTTGTCAAGGCCCCCTTCCTCCTCTAACCCAGCTTAAATATACGCTGCCAAGCTTGGTGTTCATTCAGACGCTGTCTTTCCGACAGAACTGTTCTTCACCTGAAGACGGCTGCTTGCGTTGTGGCCAAAACGTCGTGAGAATTGTATTTTATTATGTTAAATTTGTATTATTTTATTATTTCCCTTCTACGTGACTTTACCGAAAGAACCAAGAAGATGAATCCCTGCAGTCACGAAAGCTTTAAATCGAAATTGAACTCACAAATCTTCGAAAGATGTGGGCAAAGTCCCATCGGTGAGCTCCTCCAGCAGGCAAGGGCTGCGTTAAGCTGGGTCATGTATCCCGCATGCCCAGTCACCGCATGCCTAAACAGCTTTTGTTTGGCTGGATAGAGGGGGCTAAATGGGCGTGGCACGGGCTAGAGAAGAGATGGAGTGATGTGGTACAGGAGGACGTGGAGCTGAGTGGACTTGCCGATGACTGGTACCAGCGGTGTCAAGATCGGCCTCTGTGGAGGAGGCTCGTGAAGAACGCTACTGGGTAGTTGGAGGCAGTCGCCCTCCAACAACGGAGGGCGGAGGAGCGACGCTCACAACAACGAGCGGAGCACTGGGTGGCTAAAGCACAGCAAGTTGGCACAGTAGGGAGCACAGCTGGTGCATCAGCCAGTCATCTCGGTCAGTCGACCCGTGGCACCTGGGTCTGCCCCGTGACCTCCTGCCAGCGGGCGTTCGACACTTCACGTGGCCTCCAGGTGCACATAGCCTGGCACAAGCATCGTGGTGACATCACCGCCACTTGGTTGTTGTTGTTGTGTGCGGCACACAATCAGCGCTGTGGCAGGCAAAAGACGAATGCAACCTCTCAAGCTCCCGACGCGTTTTTATTGGCGTCTTCTTCGCTTAAAAAAATATACAAGTAAAAACGACGAGAACTCGCCAGCTCTTGATTGGCCGACAAAGGCACAAAGCCACGAGGGGCCCTGCACGCGGCAGCCGACCGAGTGCTTGAGCAGCGATGCGTTGTAACGGGCGAGCGACTGAATTCATTCGTGTCCGAATGACCGAACGAGCGACTGAGCGAATGGCCGGCTGAATGAGTTGAGCGAGCGATTGGGCTGTCCGGCCTTCCACAGCCAAAATTCAGCAAGGGTGACCGCCCCCCGCGCCCACCCGTCCCAAAACCCCATTACCTTCACACGACTCCGCATGTTTCACGCCTGTGGGCGAACGTGCTTAGTTTAAAAATGGCATAAAAAGTGAGAAGTTTGAACACGTCCCGATGTGTAGGAAATTAGCAGCATCTCGCAAGGGTCACCACCCCCCCCCCCCCGAGCCGGTGTCACGACTCCCCCCCCCCCCCCCCCCGAGATGACGCGGTCGTCACGGCCCGCCGGAATCCCGCGCCGAGGAGGAGGAGGAGCGGCGTGCGGAGAGTCACTCCCAGTCGTCCAGCAGCCTGCGCAGGTCCGCCTGCACCTGGGGACGACGAGAGCGACACGCCGTGAGCGTCACACGCGGCCACGCGTCACACGCGTCACACGCGTCACACGCGTCACACGCGTCACACGCGGCCACGCGGCCACGCGTCACACGCGTCACACGCGTCACACGCGGCCACGCGGCCACGCGTCACACGCGTCACACGCGTCACACGCGGCCACGCGTCACACGCGTCACACGCGTCACACGCGTCACACGCGGCCACGCGGCCACGCGGCCACGCGGCCACGCGGCCACGCGTCACACGCGTCACACGCGGCCACGCGGCCACGCGGCCACGCGGCCACGCGGCCACGCGGCCACGCGGCCACGCGGACCACCTCCACGCTGCGTCTCCGAGCTCCGTCTCCGCGACCGTGGCCACGGTACACACGCACGTCGCTGCCGCGGGCTGACGGCGGGCAGAGGAGGAGGAGGGAGGGAGGGGAGGAGGGCGCTACCTTGTTGAGCGCGTTGAGGCCGGTGGCGATGGCGCTGTTCAGGCACGAGTGGCCGTCGGCGGTGGGCTCGGAGGAGAGGCAGCCCCACTGCTCGGTGAGCCTGCACCACGCACGCAACAACAACGACAACAACAACATAACGCAACGACAACTGACGTACACCGCTAAGTGGCGGTGACGTCCCCCACCAAGGCCGTAGCCATGGAGTCAACATTGGAGGGGACCCAATCTTCTGGGGGGTCTGGGGGGCTCCCCCCCCAGAAAAAAAATCTAAATTTGAAAACGAATTTCCTGCCTAAAATATTAAATAATTCACCAACACATGGGATGGGGGGGAGTCACTGCAGACGACGCTCCCCTCTCTCCTGGTTTGTCGAGTTCTTGCCGTGTCACCCAAACTCAAACCTGTGACATGCTGCGGTTGTCATGTGGATACGCGTTGGCGTGGACGAGCGGGCGAGTGAGCGAGCTGAGTGGGCCTAGCGGGCCAAGTGGGCGAGCGGGTGAGCGGGCCTAGCGGGCGAGCGAGCGAGCGGCCAAGCGGGACGAGGGGGCCGAGCGGACGAGCGGGCCTAGCGGGCCAAGTGGGCCTAGCTGGCCAACCGGACGAGCGGGACGAGGGGGCCGAGCGGATGAGCGGACGACTCACCCCGGTGTGGCCTCCATGAGATGAATGTGCCTCTCCAGAAAGGCGATCCTCATGGCCAAGTACGAGGAGATGCCCACCAGCAGCACCGTCCTGAGAGGGGGGGTGGGTGGGGTGGGGGGGCGGGGGGTGGGGGCAGAGGTGTTGTCCACACGCCGCACTCGTCATAGGCTCCCAAGAGACGCCCAAAGACTCGGCTGTGCGCTCCACTCGGCTGTGTGCGGCGTGTGGGGCATCGCCGCGTGTTGCTAGCCGGGTGAGTGTGCCTGTGTGTGTGTGCGCGTGTGCGCGTGTGCGAGTGTGCGAGTGTGCCTGTGTGCGTGTGTGAGCATCTGCAATGGTCAGTGCGCTGCACTGCGAACCCAGCGACCCGAGTTTGATTCCTGCTCATGGCGAACACCGGCGACGATTATCCTGGGCCTGGGCCTCCTCTCGTTCGACTCGACCTCAAATGAGTGCCTGGTGTGGTGCGTAAACATCGCCACCGGGAAGACAAAGGCGGTCGGGCGTCGTGCTGGCCACCCACCCCCTCGTGCGCCGTGCCGGCCTTCGTAGGTGCTACTCACCAACAGTCTGTTCAGGCTACACTGGGGGGGGGGGGGTATCTTTGTTTTTGGCCGTGTGTCCGTGCCGCCGGGAGGCTCACGTGAGGAACAAGGTGCACAGCATGCAGCCGAGGCTGCGGCCAGAGCTTGGGGGCCCCGGTGCATTGTGGGTGGCGGCTGCAGCGTCGCCCTCCTCTGCCGGTGCATTGTGGGAGTAGAGGCCGCCGTCTCCGTCCACGCTGTCGAAGCTGGGCTCCTGCGCCCTCGAGAGTTTATCTGACACGTGAACAACGCAGGAAAACACGCGCACAGGCACCACAGACACCTTCAGACACATCTACAGGTGTAGAGGTGTTACGGGAGGGCGAACAAACACACCGGGGCTGGTTATGCCCGCACGCGGAAGGGTGCTTACATCCACGTCCGCATCGGTTAGCCCTGGGGGGCTGTAACGGCGCTGTGACCCCCCACGGCCCCACCCCTTGGGGGGGAGTTGCTATATAAGGCGGAGAGCCGGTGGGCTCGGGGTTCAGTGTTTAGCTTAAACCAGCGAAGAGTGAAGACCGGCTAGATAGGCCCTGGGACTCCCCTGGATCGCTGTCCTTTTAAGGACCGACCAGGGCAAGCCAGTGGCGTGGCCCCGAGAGCCCAGAGCCGATGCTCTTGTAAGAGCCGGTCTGGTGACTCAGGGTGCCGTGATCCCAGCTTGACCAGAGCTGGGTCAGCTAGCCTCCCCTAGCTCTCGAGTGGAGGACCTGGGAGTAGGCTAGCCGGGATAGAGATAGCAGGGTCTCCCTGTTAGACGGGTGAAGGGGCCGATACCCCTTCAAGTGTTGTATACATCGGCCTGTGCTGAGTGAAACGTTATAATAAATAAGTGTGCCTCCGACTACGTCGTCCACGTCTCATTTAACCTACTACACAGACACCCACAGGGACCTCGAGATACCAACAGATACCTACAGACACACCCACAGATACCAACAGATACCTACAGACACACCCACAGTCACCGATAGTTTAATCCGTAGGCTTTCACGACCAGTATTATTCAAAATAAAGGTTTTTGGGTTAGATCGCGTTATTTATAAATGTGTCGCAACCCTCCACCACCCGACACGGCCAATCAGTAAAAATATGCGTCACGTTGACAAATGACAAATACTATGAGACATCTCCTTTACCAGTGGCAACATATAGTAGTAGGTTTTAACCCTTTCAACTGGTACAAAAACTGACACCTTTATACAAGGTATCATGTTTGCAATAACCGCAACACAAGCAGTCAAAAATGCAAACAAAAGACAAATAGTTAACTACTTTAGCCCACCGGTGTGTTGAAGAGTGAATCCACAACATTTACAATTTGAGTTGTACGACGTTTCGCTGGAAATTCAATCCAGCATCTTCGGGCGTTTTGCCAGAACAGTGAAGCCCTCCACCTGCTTCCGGTCTTAAATAGTGCAGGATGACGTCATCATTGTTGAACCCTATCAGGATTCGAGATCAGAGGCGGGGGTGGGGGTGTATGCAATTATGTAAGAGATCAGTCATCAGCCACACTTAGCATGTGACTCACCTGTAAGGAATTGCAATGTGTGTTGTGTGTTACTTAATAAAACGCTTCCAGGCTGCTCAAATTGTAAATGTTGTGGATCCACTCTTCAACACACAGGTGGGCTAAAGTAGTGAACTTTTTGTCTTTTGTCAACGTGACACATTTTTTGCTGATTGGCCGTGTCGGGTGGTGGAGGGTTGCAACACATTTATAAATAACGCGATCTAAACCCAAAAACCTTTATTATGACCGACTCGTGACTAGAAACACCCACAGATACCTACAGACACACCTACAGGCCCCGACACATACCTAGAGACACCCAGATACCTACAGACACACCTACAGGCACCGATATGTACCTAGACACCCACAGATACCTACAGATACCTACAGACACACCTACAGGCACCGATATGTACCTAGACACCCACAGATACCTACAGATACCTACAGACACACCCACAGGCACAGACACATACCTAGACACCCACAGATACCTACAGACACACCTACAGGCACCGACACACGTACCTATAGACACCCACAGATACCTACAGACACACCTACAGGCACCGACACACATACCTAGAGACACCCACAGATACCTACAGACACACCTACAGGCACCGACACACATACCTAGAGACACCCACAGATACCTACAGACACACCTACAGGCACCGACACACATACCTAGAGACACCCACAGATACCTACAAACACACCTACAGGCACCGACACGTACCTGGAGACACCCACAGACACCTACAGACACACCTACAGGCACCGACACACATACCTAGAGACACCCACAGATACATACAGACACACCTACAGGCACCGACACACATACCTAGAGACACCCACAGATACCTACAGACACACCTACAGGCACCGACACACATACCTAGAGACACCCACAGATACCTACAGACACACCTACAGGCACCGACACGTACCTGGAGACACCCACAGATACCTACAGACACACTTACAGGCACCGACACACATACCTAGAGACACCCACAGATACCTACAAACACACCTACAGGCCCCGACACGTACCTGGAGACACCCACAGATACCTACAGACACACCTACAGGCACCAACACGTACCTATAGACACCCACAGATACCTACAGACAGCTACAGGCACCGACACGTACATGGAGACACCCACAGATACCTACAGACACACCTACAGGCACCAACACGTACCTATAGACACCCACAGATACCTACAGACAGCTACAGGCACCGACACGTACCTGGAGACAACCACATATACCTACAGACACACCTACAGGCAGCGATACGTACCTATAGACACCCACAGATACCTACAGACAGCTACAGGCCCCGACACACGTACCTAGAGATACCCACAGATACCTACAGACACACCTACAGGCACCGACACACGTACCTAGAGACACCCACAGATACCTACAGATACACCCACAGGCACTGACACGTACCTACAGGCACCGACAGATACCTAGAGACACACCTACAGGCACCGACAGATACAGCAACACCCCAGTGGTTTACGTCGGGGACGCCTTCCTGAAAGGTGCGACGACGAACATCTCAACGACGTCAATCGAAGCGATTGACAAGTGGTGGGTGGTGGTGGAGGCGGCGGATAATGAGAAGGGACGGATGATGCCACCAGCGACGTGAGTGTGCGGGGCCGAGGCTGACGGAGATCGGGTCGTGGTGTTAATGCTGCGACGGGGTGTTTGGGAAGCGACGTGAAAGGGGGAGACGTTAATCTGGGTATGACTGTACCTCGAGACACCTACAGACACCTACAGACACCTACAGATCCCTACAGACACCTACAGATACCTACAGACACTACAGACAGACACCTACAGACACCTCGAGATACCTACAGACACCTACAGACACCTACAGACAGACAGGCACCTACAGACACCTACAGACATCTACAGACAGACACCTACAGATACCTACAGACACCTCGAGACACCTCGAGACACCTACAGACACCTACAGACACCTACAGACACCTACAGACAGACACCTACAGATACCTACAGATACCTACAGACACCTACAGACACCTACAGATACCTACAGACACCTACAGACACCTACATATACCTACAGACACCTACAGACAGACACCTACAGATACCTACAGACACCTACAGACACCTACAGACAGACACCTACAGACAGACACCTACAGACACCTACAGACAGACACCTACAGATACCTACAGATACCTACAGACACCTACAGATACCTACAGACACCTACAGACACCTACAGACACCTACAGACAGACACCTACAGATACCTACAGATACCTACAGACACCTACAAACAGACACCTACAGATACCTACAGACACCTACAGACACCTACAGACAGACACCTACAGACACCTACAGACACCTACAGACAGACACCTACAGACACCTTCAGACAGACACCTACAGACACCTACAGACAGACAACTACAGACACCTACAGACACCTACAGACACATACAGACAGACACCTACAGATCCCTACAGACACCTACAGACAGACACCTACAGACAGACACCTACAGACACCTACAGACAGACACCTACAGACACCTACAGACAGACACCTACAGACACATACAGACAGACACCTACAGACACCCACAGATACCTACAGACACCTACAGACAGACACCTACAGACAGACACCTACAGACACCTACAGATACCTACAGACACCAACAGCGGCATTACCTTTTCATCGGCTGCCGATTTTGTACGGGGACTACCTGTCGCGATCGCTCCGGCCCCCTACCGTGTCCCCTACCGTGTCTCCGCTCCCCTACCGTGTCTCCGCTCCCCTACCGTGTCTCCTACCGTGTCTCCGGCCCCCTACCGTGTCTCCGCTCCCCTACCGTGCCCCCTACCGTGTCTCCGCTCCCCTACCGTGTCTCCGCTCCCCTACCGTGTCTCCGCTCCCCTACCGTGTCTCCGCTCCCCTACCGTGTCCCCTACCGTGTCTCCGCTCCCCTACCGTGTCTCCGCTCCCCTACCGTGTCTCCGTTCCCCTACCATGTCCCCGCACCCCTCTCGTGTCCCCTTCCGTGTCTCCGCTCCCCTACCGTGTCTCCGCTCCCCTACCGTGTCTCCTACCGTGTCTCCGGCCCCCTACCGTGTCTCCTACCGTGTCTCCGGCCCCCTACCGTGTCTCCGCTCCCCTACCGTCCCCCTACCGTGTCTCCGCTCCCCTACCGTGTCTCCGCTCCCCTACCGTGTCCCTACCGTGTCTCCGCTCCCCTACCGTGTCTCCGCTCCCCTACCGTGTCTCCGTTCCCCTACCATGTCTCCGCTCCCCTACCGTGTCCCCTACCGTGTCTCCGCTCCCTACCGTGTCTCCGCTCCCCTACCGTGTCTCCGCTCCCCTACCGTGTCTCCGCTCCCCTACCGTGTCTCCGCTCCCCTACCGTGTCTCCGCTCCCCTACCATGTCTCCGCTCTCCTACCATGTCTCCGGCCCCCTACCGTGTCTCCGCTCCCCTACCGTGTCTCCGCTCCCCTACCGTGTCTCCGGCCCCCTACCGTGTCTCCGCTCCCCTACCGTGTCTCCTACCGTGTCTCCGGCCCCCTACCGTGTCTCCGCTCCCCTACCATGTCTCCGCTCCCCTACCGTGTCTCCGGCCCCCTACCGTGTCTCCGCTCCCCTACCGTGTCT